TTCGTTACTACTTCAAAACTGTAATTTTGCTACTTTTATGAATCGTAATGCAAATATCTGATATACAGGATGGTCTTAGGCAACCCCTGTGAAAGGGTCATTCTATCCCCAAAGAGGTCACGACCCACAGGTTGAGAACTGCTGCTCTAGTGGCTTGTAGTGAACTGAGAGTTGAGGTCTATTCATAGAAACATTTTTCTCCTTATCCTAAAATAATTTCTTAGTTTTGGTAGGAGAGTTAGGGAGAATTAAAGTAAATATATTCTATTATGTTGCTGTCTTTAGCAACATTGAACACTGTCTATTGGCTCAATAGATGAATGATAAGTTCAGTAGCCTCCAATAACAGAAATTCCCTTCATTGTTAGTCATAAAGCTTTTCATTTTTTTTCCTGTTCTCTTCCCTTTTGGGGTATATAGGAGACTTTTGTAAAGATGGAAATAAATACCACCACGGCATAAAAATTTAAAGCATTTTTCCTTGTCAGAATCACCTGCAATCTGGATCTAACCAGATAATTTGGGGTTAAGATAACAGAGTTGAACCCTTCTTCAGAGTATGGTGAAATAGCCACCAGAACAATTGGGGCAGAAATTAGGCTTGCAAAATAACCACAACTCACCTGGCTCAGACTCCCAGAAGGGCCTTGATTGTGTCTTGCCTGATTTGGGTGTTGTGATGACTTTAGTTCTGTGTCTTCTTGGTACAGGTTTACTGATGTTCAAGTTAGCTCAGGCCCAAAGGTTTAAGAGACCCCAGACAAAGGGAGCTTGTTTGTAGGAGCATGAGGTCCCACAACTCAACAACAAAGAGGTGCTACCACCTACTAAACACCCACGTACACAGAAGAAGCAGCTCACAATTTGAAGGCCAATGTAGTTAAGCTGTGAATCTGTGTGAAAATGCCTTATTAAGGCATTGATGATGGAAGAAGCAATGCCATTGTGAGCCTTGCTCTTTAGATTTGGCATCCAAGGAAACATTACCATTTTTCTGACATCATAAAGGACTGGTTGGACAATAAAGTGAAGATAAAATTTAAGTTTTTAGGTTTAGGAAAGCAAACTGGTTAAGAATCATTGCACTAGAGCCAGATCAACTTGGGCTTCAGTCTGGGCCATTCTTCTTACTAGTATGTGATCCTGGGTAAATCATTTATCCTCTTTGAGTCTCATTTCGGTCACCTATAGAGAGAGCATAATAATACCTCTTAGAATTGCTTATCAAAAGTAAAGGTGATAGCAATGGTAATCAAGTAGGTGGTGAAGGGATTGGATTAATTCACACCTAATGGGTACAAGGCACATACTCTGGTGAAGAGCACACTTATAACTTTGACTTGAAATGTACAAAAGCAAATTATGTAACAAAAATGTGTGTACCCCTATAATATTCTGAGACAAAAAATAAAAAATTAAAAGTGCTAGAAGTATGATGATGTAAGCTGTGAACAGTGATGATTCATGTCACTTCTAAACCACAGCATAAAAAGCAAATATGAGATCACTTTGCACTCTTGTCCTCTGCTCCAGTAGCAGCATAGCTAGTCTGGATGCCTGAGAGACAATGAACAGCAGAGCTTCTCCATCCCCAACCTTCATGAAGTTTGAGAAATAAACTTTTTGTGTGTGTTAACCTATTGAGGTTTTGAGGTTGTTAACTACCCTAGAATAAGTTTAGTAAAACCTAATGAACACACAAATGATGTGTTTCTCAAAGTTAAGCAATAGAGTACTTGCCTGTTCAAATACACATTGCATATAGTAAAGCTATAAGGGAGGGTAGGCAATAGATAGTGGTGATTAGAATGGTAAGAAATAATTAATCTATTATCATATCAAAAAGTCAGTAGATAGTGATGAAAACTGACAAATCAAGAAATAGCAGCTACTAGTCATATATCTGATAAGGGACTTTTGTCTAGAATAAACAAAGAGCTCCTAATACTAAACAATGAAAAGACCTTTCAATTTAAAAATGGGCAAAAAATTGGAATACACATTTACCCAAAGAAGATATACAAATGGCCAATAGGTACATAAAAAACTTGATAAACATTTTTAGATGTTAAAGAAATGCAAATCAAAATCACAAGATGCCACCTCATATCCACTAAGATGGTTTTCAAAAATAGAGACAATGAGAAGTGTTGGCAAAGATATGGAGAAATTGGAAACCTCCTACACTGCTGGTAGGACTGTCAGATGCCATAGCTGCTTTGGAAAATAGTTTGGCAGTTCCTCAAAAAGTTAAACATAGAGTTATCATATGACTTAATAATTCCACTCTTAGGTTTATGCCCAAGAGAACTGAAAATGTATTTATACACAAAAACTTGTACACAAATGTTTAGTAATGATATATGTTGCAACATGTATGTGCCTTTAAAACAGTAAGGCAAGTGAAAGAAGCCAGACATAAGAGGCCATATATCATATGTATCATATGATTTGATATACATGAAATGTCTAGAGTAGGCAAATTCATAGAGACAGAAGGGAGATCAGTGTTTTCCAGGTGCTAGCAGCATGAGTGAATGGGCACATCATTGTGTACTAATGGGTATGAGGTTTCTTTTTAAGGTGATGAAAATATCCTGAAACTAGATAATGGTGATGATTTCAAAACCCTGCTAATATACTACAAACCAATGGATTGTGCACTTTTTTTTTTTAGACAGAGTCTCACTTTGTTGCCCTCGGTAGAGTGCTGTGGTGTCACAGCTCACAGCAACCTCAAACTCTTGAGAACTTTAGCAATTCTCTTATCCCAGCCTCCCAAGTAGCTGGGACTACAGGCACCCACCACAACACCTGGCTATTTTTTTGTTGTTGTTGTAGTTATTATTGCTGTTTGGCAGCCCCAGGCTGGATTCAAACCTGCTAGCTCTGGTGTATGTAGCTGGCGCCCTAGCTGCTGAGCTATAGGCACCAAGCCGGATTGTGTACTTTAACATGGGGAATGTATGTTATGTGAATTGAATTTTAATAAAACTTTAAAAAGAAATAGTATGTATAGATTATTCAGAAATGTGGAGGTAAAGACCGTTAGAAATCAAAGATGTTTGTGGTAATTATTTCTGGGGAGTGATAATGTGGAATGACAAGGCAGACAACAGTTTTTAATGATAAAGTCTTTTGCATTACAGGATTTTAAAATTTTGTGCCTGTATCCATTTGATAGGAATTAAAATGAGCTCAAAGCAAAACACACACACACACATTATACAGAAAAATCAGAAGAAAATTCTGATGACTGAGTCTGAGGTGGGATTCGGGTTTCTGTATTTTCAACAAGATAGATAGGCAGTTTTGATGCAGGTGGCTTGCTAGTAGATACCAAACGTTAGAAAACACTATCCAATGTTGAAACCATTTAGCAATTAATTGTGGTATAATCCATGTGCTGTGTTCTTTTTGAAGTGGCAAGTTTTAGTTGCTAAGGAATGAAATTATGGGCTCAAGACTATGTATTCAATTAGGTGCATAACTGGACCCAGAACTACAGCCTTCTGACTCAATAATTAATGTATTTATTTTTTAAGCTTCTAATATGTGCTGTGGGGTACCAAAATAAGATAAATTCTTTGCTTTGAAAAAGACAAGTATGGCTCGGCACCTGTGGCTCAATCGGCTAAGGTGCCAGCCACGTACACCTAAGGTGGTGGGTTCGAATCCCCAGCCCGGGCCGCCAAACAACAATGATGGCTACAACCAAAAAATGGCCAGGCGTTGTGGCAGGTGCCTGTAGTCCCAGCTACTTGGGAGGCAGAGGCAGGAGACTCGCTTGAGCCCAGGAGTTGGAGGTTGCTGTGAGCTGTGATGCCATGGCACTCTACCCAGGGGGACAGCTTGAGGCTCTGTCTCAAAAAAAAAAAAAAAGAAAAGAAAAAGACAAGTATAATGGAGTAATTATAATGCCTGACAAATACACGTATATTAGTTAAGGTTTTACAAAGCATTTTCCCACATTTCATGTCAGTATTAACATAACTATAAAGTGAGAAGGCAGACGTTCTCCACAGTTCAGAAAAGAACATAGTAGGGATTCAACTCACCAGGTATTTCAGGAGATCAAAGGGGCTTGGTTACCTTGAGGACTCTGATCCATTAGCAGCAACAGAGGCCTTAAAAGGGTGCAGGACCCTGGAGAGGGGGTCCCAGAAGACATGGCATTACCCAGGGAAGGGTGGTGTCCACCTCTCAGTTTCCTATACCACCTGTTCTTGGGTAGAAGTTAGATCTCCCTCAGCCCTACCCCAGTTGTGTGATCCCATACTGCCAGTGCAGGGAAGAGGGCAAAAGCCAGTCCAGCACAGCTCACTACTCAGTGTTACATCTGATCTACCCCACAGTCCTAGGAGGTAATTTTTATCTCCATTTCACAGATGACAAGGCTGTATCTTACAGCAATGAATCTAGTAACTGCCAGGTTGATTCTTCTAACTTCAAGTCCCTGGGTAAATGTGAGTTTTATCATTTTACATTCTAACAAGAATTTTAAGTGTTTTCACTGCTTTCATAGGCTCAGTAAATAGTTATTTTGATTGCCTAGTATGTATTGCTTTCCTATTTTGTTTATCTTTTATAACAAAAGTAACCAGTGCTTATTAGGGGGAAAAATACAAGCAAGGAAAAAACCTCCAGTCTCACCACACAGAGAAAACCATTATTTCTCTTTAGTCTGCTCAATTGGACATATTATGTAATCACATATATTTTTTTTTCTTTCAAAAATGGGCTGATACTGTATATGTGGTTCTGAAAATTGTTTTTTTATTATTATTTTACAATGTACCATGAACATCTCTTCCATGCACATGGGTGAAAATTCTCTATTAAAAGACAGCGTTGTAGGTTGGTCAAAAGTCTGTTGGTAACAAGATGGACACCTAAAGGAAAATATCAGCATAAGGTTAAAGCACATACCCGGCAAATGCCTGCCAGGGAAAGCAGGACTGGCAATACCCAGAGAAATCAGAGAAATCAGAGAAATCAGAGAAATCAGAATTGAAGGCCAAAATGTTAAACATATGGAGCATCTTCTAAGTCCTTCTGGCCCCTACCTCCCCCTCTGACCCCTCTGACACCCCGTTGGCCCCTTGGGGAGAATGAATCCTGTACATCTCTCTGCATCCAATGAAAACCACCCATTTTCTGCTTTTTCTTTAGCTCCTCCTGGCCCCTTGACACATCTCCATATTCTCTCATCATCTCCTCACTGCTCAAATGCCTTTCCCGTAAGTCCTCCTGAGAGTCCTTGGGAGAATCATCAGTCCTCCCCCTGTCCGTTTTTCTTTTTGCTTTCCGGGGCACATAATCTTCAGCTGGACGCTTCTCGGCAGCCGGTGCCTGGCTCTCTGGCTTTGCCTGGGATTCTGTCTTGCCCTCACCTTGTGGTTTGCCCTCACCTTCGGACTTCCCCTGCTTTTCTTGCTTTCCCTCATCTTCTTGTCCCTCCTCATCTGGCTCTCCCTCATCCTCTAGCTTTCCCTCATATTCTGGCTTCTTGTTCACTTCCGGCTTTTTCTTGTCTCCATTTTCTTCATCATCTGAACTTCCTTCATCTTCTGGTTTTATCTCGTTTTCTAGGTTCTCTTCATTGTCTGGCTTTCCTTCATTTTCTTTGTAGAGCTTTTCCATGTTGAGAATTCCTCTTCTTTGCCTGTGCTAGGAAACAAAGAAGAGACACAGAACACTTCAGTCTTAGGTGATTTAACACAGATCCTTACAGTACTTGGCTTTCTTGGAGTTTTCCTCACCGTATCCCACCTACTACGTGAACTCCTACCTCTACATTCCTTCATTTCCTTCCCCCTTCACACAAGTTCACATGAGCCAACCTTAAAGAAACTTCCATGGTGCTTCTCCCTACATTTAAGGAAGTGCATTGAGAAATATGTAGGAACAGATTAGTCCCTCAATTTTGCTCTGACCTTGGTTATGCCCATACCAGTTTTAAGTGGGTAGTACCAAACTTACATTGACCTGCAAGAATCCTGGGTGGTATTCTTCTTTTTTCCCTGCCCTGTAGTTGTAAGATTTAACAAACTACAGACAGAACAGGACAATGGTCAATTCTCAGATTTCAGGGCCACTCCTTATATCCTCAAGTGGCATCACAGATACCACACTTCCCTTCTTTCACTTCCTTATTTCCCTCTCTATCCTCACCAGCCATAGAACACCATATTCCCTCAGGATTTTGACAATGGTCATATATATTGAAACTGCAAGGAGGACAGGAAGAGGGGCTATAAGCAGTGGCCTCTCTGACTTCTGCTATGGCTTAAGTCAATTCTACTCCCAGGGTCCTGGAGCAGTTGCCTCCTTTCACTGACCTTCACTGACACTGCTGGTCTTTCCTCTTCTTGTCTGGGTTGATGCCCACAACCACAGACGTGTACACCTGCAGACAGATAGGACACAGATGATGAATGAGGGATTGAGAAAGTGAATGACTGACAACTGTGACACCAGATATTTTCTAGCTATTTCAAAACTTTCCCAACTCCTACCACCTCTCAACTTTACCCTTTTCTTCTGTGATTGCCCCTTTAAAATTCCTTCCTAGAGCCTCCATTTTTCTTCTACTGAGCAATGGGGAGAAAGATCATTGCCAAAGTGTTTCTAATCCCCCTACCAAATTTCCTTCTCACCTTTCCTGGTACTGAATAAAAATGAGTAGTGCTCAGGACAGGGATGTTTAGAAAACAGATCCTGCTACACTCAAGTCTCTACACTCCAAACCCCTCACCTCAGGGTATGGATGACACAAAGCCCATCACTTCCGTGAAAATGTGATTAGAGACTGGGGCAGGACAGAAATGTCCAGAGCACCCATACCACCCCTCCTTCCCCACATATACAAAAAGCCCACATTTTCTTGCAATGCAAGAGACCAATTATTCACAAACTCAGTACAATATTTGGCCTGTGCTGCCTCTTCTCGTTCCTCCCTATCTCAGAAGCCACTCCTCCTCATTAGGAATGGTCCCCATACCAAACCTCTGTCTCTCTCTTCTGCAGCACCTCCTCTCCCTGATCCCCTCAGCCCACCATTTCCGTTTCCAAAATGGACGGAGGATGGAGAAGAGATACAGGGAACTCTGGCCTGGACCCGTGTCAGGGTCCATTCTCCCCATCCCTGAGTCACCAGCTACGCCTGCCTCCAGCCTCCGCGCTGTTGGGATCAGGCGGGATCCTCACAGCAGTTTCCTAGTCGTCCCTTCCCCCAGCCCTCCTCCTCCATCAGATGTCGCCGGATCGCCGGCTTCCCAAGAGATCCCAACTGTTACCCATTGTCAACCCTTGACCTGCTAGACCTCCCTTTCACCTCCCCCGCCCCCAGGCGCTCCATTTGTTGCAGCAAATAGGTGGACATCGGAAAAGAGCAGAGAGAATCCAGGACTGGATTCTCTCGCTTCTGGTCTTTGCCCTTTGCCACCCCGACCCCAGGGGTCCACAGGCGGCTATGGATTCTTAGCCATGCGGGGGAAAATGACTCCTTTTCCCGTATCTTTCTGTCGGAAGCCTACGCTTCTCTAGGGAAATAAGAGATGATACCCAGATCTATCCCCCGCAACACACACAGTTTTCTGCGCCAAAATGAATGAAGGTGGAAGGCAGTGGAATCCAGAAAGCAGACCTGATCCCCTGTCGCCTCTGTCTGTTACCTTCCCTACCTCCGGGGTCCCTGGCTTGTACCGACCTGCAGAGCTATGAGACTGTTGTCCCCGCTGTTCCTCAATCTGAAATCTGTCTTCCTCCACGGAAACAAGGAGCTGGTACCTGGAGGAGAGGGATTTCTGCACACGTCGGCTCCTGATCACGTGGGAAAAACGTCACCAGCCGGCTTGGGTCCCTAGTTCTCCCCCCACTGGCAGAAAGTGCGTCAGGAGACAGCTCACTTCTTCCCTTCACTAATTCCTACGCCCCCTCCCCCAGTACTTCATGGGATCCTGTCATTCATTTTGGTCTCTGCTAATCTCTGAGGTCAAATGTGGCCTTTCCTACCCTGTGGCACGTATTTATTCTTCTATGGTTATGAGGGAAGGGTCCCACTCCTCTCCTAGGACTGCTGGCTACTAGCACATTTCTTGAGAAATTCTTTTTCTCTATTTATTCCAAAGCAAATACTCCTTCAATCTACTCCACTCAGCCACTGATGTTCATTCCGCCTGTGGTCCATAACTTCACATAATGGGTGCAGAGTGGATTGTCAAGTAGTTAAATTGGTGTTTACTTTTCTTTCTTTCTTTCTTTCTTTCTTTATTTCTTTCTTTCTTTCTTTCTTTTTTTTTTTTTTATTTAATATACTCTCCTAGGCATAAGTTATTCTTACAAGCACAAAATTAAATAAAGCTATTTCATTTTGGGAGAAAATGTTTAAGATAGAGACAAAAGCCCACAAGATTCCAAAATTTCCTACTCAGAATAGAAGAAAAATTAATTTCTTAATGTTAATTTTTGCCTTATAGAAAATGAATTCAATTTGCCACATGCAAAGTATATGTTTAAAAACATTTTCTTAGTTGGTTCTCTCATGTTCTGTTTAAAAATACGTATACATTGATTTACAATGCTAAGCAATGTTAAGTGCTACTTAACAATTGCTAAGTGCTAAGTAGACTTGCTGGAAGCAGATAATTGACAGAAAAGTAAACAATGTCATTTTTGAAAAGCTTGCCCGTGGCTATTTTCATTCAGAGGTTTATCTCTGAGCAAAAGGAAGATCTGCTTTATCATTCGTATGAATGAATAATAGTATTGAGTACATTGGATACTTTTTCTTCCATTCTTGAGATACTTTACTAAGAAGAATATGTTCCAGCTCCATCCAGGTAAACATAAAAGATGTAAAATCTCTATACACATTCACACGAAAGATAAAACAAAACTATAGTCCAGAAAGAAGGTGGGAAAAAGAGTGAGAGGGGAGGGGAGGAGGAGGCCGAGAGGAGGTAGGGCATTTGGTGGGACCTCACCTAATGTGCATAATGCAATGGTACATTTTAAAACTAAGAGTATTGTATAAATGTCTTACCACAACAAATAAGTGAGGTGATGTTAACAAGTTTGATGTAAGCTTTTCACATTGCATATTAAATCAGCACATTGTACCCCATAAATGCATTAACGTAAAGTTATGATTTAATAAAAAATAAATTAATTAATTTTTAAAAAGAGAAAAAAAGGAAGATGTGTAAAACCAAGGCAGCAGAGGATGTGAGAGGTGCAAAAATGAGCCCATCTTCCCTGCCCAGTCAAGGGAACACTTTTCCTGACACTGTAACCTAGAACAGATCCCTTCTAGATCCATGCAGGTGAGGATTTCCATGAGGCTTCTAGAAGTGATTGCTGGGGGAAGACCCCTCAGATATGCCCACTCTCCACCCTTATCCATAGCACCTGGGTGGAAGCTTCTTTGGAGCCCATCTTCGGCCTCCCACCTAGCCTGAGAGGCACAGTGTCCTCTCACCCCATACAGCATCTCCAGAGAACACAGAAACATCTCTCACTTAAGAGTTGCTGCTGCTACTACACACCACCCTAAGTTTCTCTCAGCCAGATTTAGGCTAGTGTCTAAGGCAGTGGTTCTCAACCTCCCTGATGCCACGGCCCTTTAATACAGTTCCTGTGGGTCACAACCCACAGGCTGAGAACTGCTAGTCTAAGGAATTCTGACATGTTCATCATATTGACCTAGTCATGTTTAGGAAGTAGTGGAGGATGTACATTTTTGAAGGAAGAAGATCTGTATCCTAGGAACCTGAGAAATGGTAATACATAAGCATATGAACATCACAAAGAAGCAGAAACTATGAGGTACTGAAAAGAGGAACGGAGAAGAAGCTACTTAAGAATGAGATGGGAAGGGGAAGAGAAAAATAGCAGCTGAGCCACATTAAAGGTAGCTCACCTACTCCTTGGATTCAGGCATTACTAACCTTTGAGTCCCCTGGAATTATATTCAAAATTGGGTGTGGGGGGTGGGGATAGGATATATATTTTTTTACTGGATGTGCACATATGCTGAGAATGAGGGTCCATTGCTCTCATTAGATATTCAAAGGGTTGTGTGTATAAAAATAATGAAGGTCACTTACCTAGAGAATACATTTTTATATACATAATTTTGTCAAATAGGGCTATCTTTGTCTTCTTTTTAAGGAGAATTTTTTATAACATAAAATTACCCATTTTAAAGTGTAGAATTTTGTTTAACCATTGCTAACCTGAGGTGAACAGATTTTAACATTGGTAAAGTGGGACACCATTGAGGAGGAGCGGGGCCTGACAACAATGCAAACTTTGATAAGCAGTTCTCGATAATCAGTTCTCAACAATTATTTGTTACTATTAAAGTTTAACATTATAAAATTAACAAAAATAATATAAAACACATATCCTGGCAAAATAGCCACATGGCAGCTGAAAACCGTATATTCCCTTCCTGTTCTCCCCTGTTTCCTAGATTGTCTTGCATTCTTTCCAAACATCAGGGCTTTTTTAAAACGCCCCAGGACACAGGACAAATTGTTAAAAATCAGGGCTGTCCTGCCAAAAGCGGGATGTCTTGTCACCTTACTCTAGAGAGAGGGGACTTTTTTGTTCCAGACAGTTTGGCTCCTGAGCTAAATGTCCTTGCCTAGAAGGAAGGA